TCTCTATCTCTGTTTCTGTCTCTGTATCTCTTTCTGTCTCTCTCTGCTTCTTCTCACTGTCATTCTCTATATCTACCTATCTCTATCTCTGTTTCTGTCTCTGTATCTCTTTCTGTCTCTCTCTGCTTCTTCTCACTGTCATTCTCTATATCTACCTATCTCTATCTCTGTGTGTGTATGTTTGTGTGTGTGTGTGTGTATTTGTGTAGATCTATATCTCTGTACGCCTGTAGTTCTAGCTTTCTGGAACTCATTATGGTGACAATGCTTGCCTCCAAGACAGAAGATTCACATGCAGTCTTTTTATGGGGATTAAAAGTATGTACTACCAGACCTTGAAGAATTACTGCTGCCTAACCCTGTGAAAGTCCTATATGCAGTTATCAGAACTATGAAAGAGGAATCTAAAAAAAGAATGGAAGACAGTTCCCAGGAGGAAGCCTAGCTGCTGTCTGGGGTACTGAACAATTATGCAATGTGTGCTTGAGACTATTTTTTGAGACATTACTGGGTTGAGAATCAACAATGATGTAAATCAATTTTTTTGTTTTAAAATTGGAAGAGTTATACTGGAAGACCCAGATACATCACTCCTTAGCACGTTCCCAAAAGATGTTCCACTGTGCAAAAAGGACACTTCCTCAACAATGTTCACAGCATGTTTATTTCTAATATAAATTGGAAGCAACCTATATGTCCCCCAACTGAGAATGCATGAATAAAAAGTATTACAACTACACTATGGACTACTATTTAGAGATTAAATTCATTGAATGTAGGAATTTTGCAAGGAAACAGATTCAAGTAGAAAACATGGTAATGAGTGAGGTAACTCAGGCACTCAAAGACATGTATGCTATGTTCATGTATGATAAGGAGTTTCTTTGCAAAGGCTCAGCCAGTAAAGTTGATATTGGCATCAGCATCATCACCCGACTTTAGACTCTGAAAGGAGGGTACTGATTTGATAAAATTTACTCTTGACCTCCTTGGGAGTTCCATGGAATGATCACATGCACCAAATCCCCAAACTAAGAAGGATACTTAGTTGTTGCTTAACTAAAATACAAATTTGTCTTTAGTTTCAGGGAATCTATATTGCTTTTTGCTAGCTTCTATGTGCTTCGTCCACACACAGAGTGTGCAAACATTCAACACAGGCTTGCAGATACTCATCAATATAAGGGAAACCACAACAACAAAAATGATGTTAGCACTTTGTGGGACCACAAAGAGGTGGTTTGGTCTCCCTGGTAGAGCACTGGGTCGCAAATAGCTGGGGAAACAACAGAGACATCTGTCAGGGAAGGCACTAATCTCTACCTGCTCCGGGATTCCAGACTACCCTGACATGCATCCTAATACATCCTCATTAGCCTACATCTTACAGACAACTTTGACTCAGAGTACCTCCTCCCAGAGAGGTTTGCTAATATCCAGGTAGTTGGCATGACTAAAATTTTCCATATTCATGAGATCTAAATGCCAGGAGGCATAGCTAATTAAGTTATACCTTCCCAGTCCCTCCTCTTTCCCACTCCCTTTTTTTTTTTTTTTTGTGGAGGGACTGGTTCTTTATTTCAAAATGTCACTTGTCAATATTCAGTATCAAAACAGTTGCACTACAGGGTTCTCTTTCTCCGGTCAGAGGAGAGTACAAACAAGCCAGGAATCTGCAGGGTGCCCACCTAACAGGCCGAGAAGAAACCACCTGAACATGGATGGCAATTGGGTGGGGACACTTGAAAGATCAGCATACCACTACACTAGCCCACAGACTGCAAAGAATCCTCACAGCCAATGGGTTGGCCAAGGTAACCCAACCCCCCCAAAACAAAATTTCAAAATAATATAAAATTTAAAAAGTTCTTATTTTTTTTTACATAAGCTATTCAAGATTTCTCCAGCACTGACTGATACAAAGCACAATGAGATGGCACTTTAGAGACAGCAGCTTCAGGAAAAGGGCGATGAGATGCCTTTCATGTGGCTAAATCAGTGGCACAAACATAATTCTCCTTCTCTGTCTCCCTTGGGGGCAGGTGAACACTAAGAGGTCACCACAACACTAAGGAGCAGCATGATCCATTTTGAGCAGTTGGGGAAGGGGTGGAGCTCAGACAAGTTTGGGCTCAGGGCTGGGCTGAATGGTAGCACGCTTGCCTGACATGCATGTGGCCCTGGGAGGTGGGGCTGTCTCAGCGTCTTATTTGGTCACATTTGATGGAAAAAGTAAAAAATAAAATAAGTGTAAAAGTTGTTCAAAGATATCAAAGCTGAAACCCTTCACAGCCCGGAAGAGTTTTTTGTTTTTGGCTAACTTCCTAGAATCCCCGTTGTTTGGCTAAGACGCAGTGCAGAGCACTGAGGTCTCCCACAGTGGAGCCTGCCTGGGCTCTGCTGGCTCTCAGGAAGGCAGGCCCATTCCTGTGCTTCTCCTCCATGGTGAGACAGTATCCATTAGGCTAAAATGTGCTGCTCCAAGCTGCAGCAGTGCTTGGAATGTTAAAAAGGGTTGCTAAGACAAAAAGTAATCACAATGTGCATATCACAACTGCATTGAGGACACATTGCGTTGTGCTCACATTCCCTTAAATATTGTTCCCAAAGGTGTTCAGCCCCTCCAGCTGGAACTCTGGGAAGAGGCTGACACAGTTTTGTGAAAAAGACAAGAAGGGTAGAAGGGGTGACAGGAGGGAAAGCAGCCTTCAGTTAAAAAGATCAGCCCTCAGTTTCAAGGTCAGCTTCTGGGAGGCTGGCCACAGACGGAGTCAAGGTCAGAGGGAGGAGAGGCCGCAGGGCAGGGATGGGGGAGGTCTACATCTCATTCAGGTCCAGCAGGGTCTGGTCCAGCATCCTTTGTGTACAGAGATGCTCCTCTTTGGTGCACTTCAGCTTATCTTCCAAGTCATCAATGGTCTTTTCCAGCTTGGCTACCGATCTTTCAGCAAACTCAGCACGGGTCTCTGCCTCCTTGAGTTTATCAGTAAGAATCTTTATTTCTTCTTCATACTTGTCTTCTTTTTGAGAGTACTTTTCTTCAGCAGCACTCAGACACTTCAGGTTCTGGTCCATCAGTCTGATCTGCTCATCCATCTCTCGGCAACGGGACTCTGCAAGCTCGGCGCGTTCCTCCGTACGTTCCAAGTCTCCTTCGATAATCACCAACTTACGAGCCACCTCTTCATACTTCCTATCTGCCTCTTCTGCAATGTGCTTTGCTTCCTTTAGCTGGATTTCCTGGAGTTCCATCTTTTCTTCATCTTTTAGAGCCCGATTTTCAATCACCTTCATACCTCTCTCACTCTCATCAGCAGCCTTTTCCGCTTCCTCTAGCTTCTGCAAAGCAGTGGCAAGGCGCTCCTGGGCACGGTCCAGCTCCTCTTCAACTAGCTGGATCCTGCGGTTCAACGAGGCCACCTCAGCTTCAGCCTGCTCCCGGGCCCGCCTTTCTCCCTCCACTTCCCGCTGGAGGCGCTCGGCCCTCTCCTCCGCATCATCAGCCTGCTGCTGCAGAACCTGGATCTTGCGCTTTACCGCCTCGATGGTGGAGTTCCCGGCCATGGTGCCTACCCAGCTGCTTCTGGAAATCAGGTTCCTACCTCCTCCGCTCGGCGTTGTAGCCGCTTTTCCCCCACTCCCTATTTAATGGAGCTCCCACTAGCTTTTAAGAGGGGCACATGAACTTCCAGATCCAACTATCACATCATGAACTGTAAACTACACTTTGGAAACCCAGAC